TGCTCTTTTATCCCTGTAACCCTTCCCACCCACCCACCCCAACACCTCCATAATGGTAAACACCAGTCACTTCTCAGTGTCTATGAGTCTACTACTATTTTGTTCATTTTGTTTTGTTTTTATATTCTACAAATAAATGAAATAATATGGTATTTGTTTTTCTCCACCTGGCTTATTTAGCATAGCCTAGTATCTTTTACCTCCATTCATGTTGTTGCAAATGACAGGATTTCTATCTTTTTTATGGCTTAAAAATATCCTATTGTGAATAAGCAACACCTCTTCTTTATCCATTCATCTATTGATGGACACATTGGTTGCTTCCATATCTTGGCTATTGTAAATAATGCAGCAATAAACATAAGGATGCATATATCTTTTCAAATCAAGGATTTTGTTTTATTCAGGTATATTCTTAGTGGAATTACAGAGCTGTATCATATTTCGATTTTTAGTTTTTTGATGAACTTCCATATTGCTTTCCACAGTACCTTCACCAGTTTACATTCCCACCAAGTGTAGGAGGATTCCCTTTTCTCCACATCATTGCCAACTCTTGTTACTTCTTGCCTTTAAGATACTGGCCACTCTAATTGGTGCGAGTTGATATATCATTGTAGTTTGATGTGCATTTCCCTGATGATTAGTGAGGTGGATCATTTTTTTCTGTGTCTTTGGCCATCTGTCTTTCTTCTTTAGAGAAATGGCTTTTTAGGTCTTCTGCCCATTTTTAATTGGGTTGTTTTTTTGGGTGTTGCAGCATATGTGTTCTTTAAATATTTTGGATGTCAATCCCTTATAGGATAAATCATTTATGATTATATTCTCTCATACTGTAGGTTTCCTTTTTGTTCTACTGATGATGTTCTTTGCTGTACAGAAGATTTTAGTTTGACAAAGTAGCACTTGTTCATTTTTGCTTTTGGATCCCTTGCCCAAGGAAATGTGTCCAGGAAAAAACTGTGTATATGCATGTTTAGGAGATTTTTTGCCTATGTCTTCTTCTAAGAATTTATGGTTTCATGCCTTACATTCAGATTTTTGACTCGTTTCAAGTTTACTTTTGTGCATGAAGTTAAACAGTAGTCCAGTTTCATTCTTTTGTATGTAGCTGTCCAGTTTTCCCAACACCTGTTATTGAAGAGACATTTCCTTCCCTATTGTCCATTCAAGGCTCCTTTATATTACTGACCATATATGTGTGGCTTTATATCTGGACTCTTTATTCTGTGCCATTGATCTGGTCTGTTCCTGTGCTAGTACCATACTGTTTCGATTACTATAGCTTTGTAGTATAGTTTGAAGCCAGGAAACACAACACCCCCAGCTTTCTTCTTCTTTCTCAGGATTGCTTTGGCTATTCTGGGTCTTCTGTTGCTCCATGGAAATTTTAGGAATATTAGCTCTAGTTCATTGAGAAATGACATTTTTTTTGGGGGGGGGGACTGCATTGAGTCTATAATTTGCTTTAGACAAGGATGGCCATTTGGACAATATCAATTCTTTGTGTCCAGGAGCATGGGATAGATTTCCATTTATTTGTATCTAATTTCTCTCATGAGTTTCTTATAGTTTTCAGCACTCAGGTATTTCACCTCCTTATTTAGGTTTATTCCTAGGTATTTTATTCTTGTTGATACAATTGTAAATGGAATTGTTTTCCTGATTTCTCTTTTTGCTTGTTTGTTGTTAGTATATAGGAACACAAATAATTTTTGTGTATTAATTTTGTGTCCTGCAACTTTGCTGAATCCATTTATTAGTTCTAATAATGTTTTGTACAATCTTTAGAATTTTCTACATATAATATCATCTTATCTGCAAATAGTGACAGTTTAACTTCTTCCTTACCTATTTGGATGCCTTTTATCTCTATCTTGTCTGATTTCTGTGGCTAGGACCTCCAGTACTCTGTTGAATAAAAATGGTGAGAGTGCACATCTTTGTTTTGTTTCGATCTTAGAGGAAAAGCTTTCAGCTTTTCACCATGGACGATGATATTAGTTGTTTGTTTATCATATATGGTCTTTATTGATAATATGTCAGCTTTGGAATTAAGTTATTAATTTTCTCCCTTCTCCCAAGGGTTTCTTCTTTGCTGTTCATTACAATAACTGTTGTTTCTTTGCTTTGTGATTTTTCTGAAATCATTCTACAATATTTCTTATTTTTCATGTGTGGCCATTGACATTTCAAGCTGAATAAGCACAGTGGTCAACAAATAATCCATCAGTGAATTCCATATTCATCACAGACTAGTGATTCTCCCAGTCAGTTTATGTATGTTGGGGCTAACTTCCAAAACTACCGGGTAGTTTGGTACTCTGCCTTTGCCTTCATTTGCTGCTTTCAGAGAGCGTGAATTGCAGCCATAAGTCATTGTTGTGGGCCTTCTTGTATGTTTCCTGAGCATTCATACAGCCCTGCACATATGAGTTGCGCCTTCCATATTCCCAGGAATAAAGTCAAATTTTAAAACCCCTGGAGACACTTCATTTCTCCATATTTTAAGCTACTCATTCTTTTGTTTGTCCCCAACTGTTATCTGTTGCCTCAGGCAGTGTTCATGTTAAAACACTGAACAAATTCACTCCCTTCATATGCAAACAGGAAGTTATTTGTATTGGATAAATTTGAGCATGATTAAAGACAAGCCTTTTGACTGGCGTCTTCCATGGAATCACCAGCAAAGTCACACTATGTCTCCTCTTTGGGAATGAGGTTTTGAAAGAACTCCAGTCTCATTCTTCTGTTACTCAGAATGTGGTCTGTTATGACAGAAGCTACTGAGGGTTAGAGAGTGAAAGATGGGATTTGGAGAAGTTACAATACCACAAACCTTAGTGTTCTTACTGAAATTTATTAATTTTTCTTTTCTAAATACTCCCTGGGTTGTTTCAGGCCATTTTTTTATTTCCAGACTTCTTAAAATGTGGATATTCATCATTTTTGCCTCTTGCTTTTATATAAAGGCAAACTTTTGGAATCTTTACTGTGACATCTCATGGATTCCTCCACTATTAACCTTCTTCAACTGTGATGAAATACACATAATATAAAATTTTTCTTTTTACTATTGTTAACACACTATCTTTCTAATTAGCCTATTTAAATACTCCTTGTAAGTAAAGCCACACACTATTTGCCCATTTCTGTCTGGCTTTTTAAATTTAAACGCAATTTTTTTCATGGGTTCACCAACATTGGAACATGTATCAGAACTTCATTACCTTTTCTGATTAATAGTCCATTGTATGTATATGTTATGTTAGTCAACTCAGGCTGCTATAACAAAATACCATAAGGTGTGTGTCTTTTAAATATAAATTTATTTCTCACAGTTCTGGAGGCTGAAAGTCCAGGATTGGGTGCAATCCTGTTTGAGTTCCACTGAGTTTATTTTTCTAGGTTGATTACTTTCCATTGTTATTCAGTTAATCCTTGAACAGCAGGGGTTTCAACAGTGTAGGTCCACTTACACACTTTTTTCCAATAAATATGTTGGAAGAATTTTTGCAGCTTTACAATTTGAAAAACTATTTTCTTTTTTCTAGATTACTTTATTATAAGAATACTGTACACAATACACATAACATACAAAATGTGTTAATAGATTATTTATGCTATTGGTAAGGTTTTTGGTAGCTAATAGGCTATTAGTAGTAAGGTTTTTGGGAGTCAAAACTTATACACAGATCTTTCACTGTGTAGGTGTTAGTGCCCCAACCCCCAGATTGTTCAAGGGTCAACTTTATTTGTTCCTGTCCTTTTAGTATGTCCTTATATATACCAAAAGATAGCATTATCTTGAATGTTTTAAAATTTTTAGTAATGTTGACTGCCTGCATCCAGGCAGAGAATGTGTAGCTTTGCTAGAGATTCCAATAGGATAGTCATCAGTCCCATAGAATTATAGCTCAAAGGGTTCATTACAGTTGTGAGGCCCCAAAGGTAGACACCATGACACAGCTTGTTGGACAGTTTCCATAACAGAATGTAGTTTGGACCCCATTCAAAAGATGCTGGCTTGTGAGCATCTGCTATAAGGGACTAAACAGAATACGTAAGCAATCATAGTTTTCAATATCCAAAGGATTCTATTAGGTGCTGGCCTTTTTATGGTAGAGAGGAGATGAAGAAACAAATTTTCTTTGATTGCCTGAAGGACTTGAGTATTATAAGTCTACCTACATACTGCTGAAAAACATTGCTTGGCAAGCAGGTTCCTGAACTTTGTTGAAGGTTTTTAGCCATTCTTCCTAGGATATGTGTGATAACCCAGCCTGTACTGTTGAGATTGAGGCTTGTGACTGCCAACCATCAGGACATCATGTATAGAGTGAAAGTTTTGGAAATCAGGGTATGGCTCCACTTCCACTAAATTCTGACCTGCTGATTATGGCAAATGGCAGTGGAATTTAGTAACTCTAAGGGAATACAAAAAACATATATTGGAGTCCTTATCACATGAATGCAAAAATATCTTGATTCTCAAGTGCCAATGTATGGGAAGTAAGGTGTCAATGTTTAAAACAGTGTTCCATGTGCCATAAGGCTAGACTGTGTAATGGATTTGGTTAGTGCCATTGCAACAGATGACCCTGCATGTGAAACTGAATTTGACAATAATACACTATAAGCCTTCAGCTCCACTTAGACTTTTTTTTTTATTTTGGAATCATTAATCTACAATTACATGAAGGACATGATGTTCACTAGGCTCCGCCCCTCACCAAGTCCCCCCTACATACCCGTTCACAGTCACTGTCCATCAACATAAGATGCTAAAATCACTACTTGTCTTCTCTGTTGCACAGCCCTCCCCGTGCCCCCTACCCCACTATACATGTTAATCGTAATGCCCCCTTTCTTTTATCCCGCCCTTATCCCTCCCTTCCCACCCGTCCTCCCCAGTCCCTTTCCCTTTGGTAACTGTTAGTCCATTCTTGGGGGGTTCTGTGCTTCTGCTGCTGTTTTGTTCCTTCAGTTTTCTTTTGTTCCTATACTCCACATATGAGTGAAATTATTTGGTACTTGTCTTTCTTCGCCTGGCTTATCACTTAGACTTTTGCACATGGGTGTACTTGAACCTCCAACAACCTGTGCTTCCTTTAACTCTAAATTGGGCTATGGTTTTCTACTTTCTTCTTGGAATTCTCTGAACTCAAGAGGGGTCAGGGAGGCTGGTGGGAGAATGATTTATGTGTCCCACTAACAATTCTCTACATGTGGCTGAATATCTTCTGGCACTTAGGGAGCAAGAAAGTATAAGCATCCATTCCTACTATATGTTTAGATTTAGAGATAACACCTACATGCACAGAATTGGCCAAAAAGGTTTTCACTCACTGGTCATATTGGCTTCCTTTCCCCACTGTAAACCCAGCTAAAGTCCTATTAGCTCATGCTTGATGCCATTTCCTTCTACTGGTCTGTTTAGCATAGTGTCTTATATCTAACAAAGCCACAGAAGTTTGATTCTCTCCCTTTGCCAAAATTCCTCAGCACATTCAGACAGGTACATATGGACTTTGAAACCATTTAGGACAGGGATCTATCAGTTCTCATCCTGACCACCATTTCCCTAATTCCTTCTCATTAAAAGAGGGAGGACTTTTTTTTCATAGTTTGTCTGCATGTTCACCACTGATTTTTGTAATTTACCCACAAATTGTCTACCTACATAGTGCTGAAAAACATTGCTTGGCAAGCCAGTTCCTGAATGTTGTTGAAGGTTTTTAGCCATTCTTCCTAAGATATGTGTGATACCACAGCCTGTACTGTTGAGATTGAGGCTTGTGACTGCCAACCATGAGGAGATGTTTTACAGTACTATGGAGGTACCTTCATTCTTCTCATGGAGTCATGTCTCAGTCAACATCCAATCCTCATTGCTACAAGTATCAACTGTGAAGATTGTGAAAATTTCCCCTATTTTTGAGCCAACAAGGTAGCTTGCCACAGTTTCTTGGATGCCAGTAAAAGACATGAGACATCTAGTTCAGAGACAATACTGAAGGGCAGTTTAGTACTCACAGTAATAGCAACAGCTTGAATATCAGCGTTTTTACTCAAGAAGCCTGAAATCCACTTTCCACAGGGTGATGCAAAATGCAAAATAAGTGAAATGACACCTCACCTACTTATAAAGTAGATGAGACAGGAAACCTCATTTTGGGAACCTCAAACTTTTTAATGGGCAGTAAGCATCCCTTCCCTTTGCCTTGAAGGAGACATTTTTTTAATTTTATTGGAATAAGATTTCCTGCCTTTTCCCCCAGTGGGAATCACTGTATCTTCCAAAGACTCTAAGCAAACCTGCTCTTTACTTCAGAGAGATACTATATCTTCCAAAACTGTTTTCCATCCAAACATCTCTCAAAAGATAGCTTAAAAGAAAAAATATATTGCTAGAACAAATATATTACAGAAATGTGTAAGACACATGAAGAATTGTCTTCCAACAATATCTGAGTGAAATTCCTGGAAATTTTTAAACTCATTTTTTAACACATTTAAAATTTACAGTTTTAAACACATTTTTAAACTCAGCAGATTATGGCAAATTTTTCTTACTTAAACTGTCAGTAAAAAGGGTAACTACAGTAACTATCTGAATTACAACATATAGGATCCCCTACTTGTTCAATTGGTCAATACATATTTTCAGATTTCACAGGTGTTGCTGATCTGATGTGTGTGAAATCATGTTATTTTACTTTTTCTTTTCTTTCTGGTGGATTCATATAGTCAATCAATACTTATTAAGCACCTACTGTATACCCAGGTCTCTTCTAAGGACCTGGGATACATTGGTGAGTGTCAAAAGAAAAATCATACACTTTCAGAGCTTATATTCTAGTAGGGAAACAACACATTAATTAAGTCAATTATATAGTATGTGGGAAAATGAAATGTTATGGAAAAAGTACAATGAGGTAATGGGGAGAAGATTATGGTATTGTATATTTATTGACCATGTGGTCTACATGTAAATTACCTGTTTACATTTTTTGCCTAATTTTCTATAGACTGTGTCTTTTTCTCATTTTACTCCACTTTGTATATGATGGTTTTTGAAATTAGGGGTTTTGCATATTTTTATATAACCAAATTTATCAAGCTTTTCCCTCATTACTTGTACATTATTTGCCTTTAAATGAAATCTTCCCCATTTCCATAGGAAAAAAACACAAAAATTCTGTTTCATTTTATATTCTAAAAGTTTTATCAGTGTTACTTTCCAAACTTAAGTATCAGTATTTTTTTCCCCGCTTGGAATTTATTTTGTGTATAGGGTATGATGAAGGGGTTAAACTTTACTTTTTACCATAGAATAAACAGACTAATGCAGTACAATTTATTGAATAAAACATCTTTTCATTATTCATCTAAAATGTCACCTTTATTATGATTCAAGTTTCCTATATAAAAATCTGTTTCTAGGTCTTTCTTGTTTCATTGGTATATTTGATGTGCTTTTTTCTTTCCTTAACCCCATATAGACTACTCTCTAGAGTTGCCAGAGTGATCCTGTTAAAATAAGAGTCACGTATCAGGATTCTTCTAACATACTCAAATTGGTACCCATCTAACTGAGTATATAAGCCAAATTCTGTTCTAGGACATCCAAGGTGCTAAGCTATGTCCTTCTCCCTGAGCCCCCTCACCTTACTGAACTCACTTTCTGATATTCTCTATGTTGCTCCCTCAGCTCCAGCCATGCTGGTATTTCTTGAACATGCCAGGCCTACTTCATCTTTGGACCACAGCACTTGTTGTCTCTCTATTTGAAATGCTCCTTCTCCAGATAGCTACAGGGGCAGTTCTCTCACTACCATCAGGTCTAATACTCAAAAGCCATGTTTTCAGTGAGACCTTTCATGGCCTTCCTACCCATTTCAGTCTCCTCTTGGAATCTCAGTTCCCTATGACTTGCTTTATTTTTTCTTCTTAATTCATATCACTTTGAAAATAATTTACATTTGACTTATTGTATCTTGACTACTGTCTTCCACACTAAAATGAAAGCTCCATGAGGAAAGGAGTATTTTATTTATTTTGTTCATTATTATATCATAGATATCTGTGCTTAGAAGACTGACTAGAAGAGAACCAGCCCACTTGAAATAAGTATTGGAGGAATAAAGATGAAGAAAATAAATTAAAAAGCAAGTGAGGTCAATGTAACCCAAAAGGAGGGCTGCAAGTAGCCCAAAGCCACAAATGCAAATGCCTCCAGGGGAAAACTGGGCATTTTATAGAGTAAAGCATACCAGCTCGGGACATGGTCAACTTTAGAGAGCATTCTGAGTCTAAAATGGGCTGAACTCTTCCTCAGACCCAGCTGCTTGTTCTCTTACTGGAATGTGGGTTCTGATCCTAGTTTACTATGTTTATTTGTTTTTTCAGGTTATCCAGAAATATGGATTTTTATAATATGAAATCTCCTAAACATTTAAGTAGCAAATTCTAAAATACAAAACAATAAAAACATGAAGACCAAACAAAACATGACACCTGGCTGAAACTGGCCCATGAGTGGCCTTCAGGTATTTTCTAAACTAAGTTTTGTGATGTATGAAATAAAAATAATCCGTGCTATGGTGAGGTGGGTTTGCTTTGTGAAATTCTTCAGGCTAACAGCCTTAGGTCTTGTTGTGTGCAGAGAATGAACTGGAATTATGAAATTCTTTCAACTCCTGGAAGCTCCCTGCTTCCCCCACCCACTGCTATGCATGGAGTTAGGGAAGCATGGGAAGTGGGTAATCATCAGAATTCTCTCTTTAAGGGCAGGGGTATATTTTTCTGATATGGGTGGTGGAGAAACCCGACAGAAGGCTTTGAAGAGAACTTCCACAGCCAGACTGGGAAAAGACAAGGAGGAGTGGCAGAGGACACAGATCCATGTGTTGGGAAACCATATCTCTAGGGGACTTTATTGGGGTTACCACTCTCTCTTGCCATCAACCATCACTCCACTATGTGGCACTATACTGATGAAGGAGTTAGTTATACAGTCACAACTGCCAGCTTCACTGTCCCATGCCACCTATCTCACCTGGAAACAAAGCTGCACAAACTTCCAGCAAGCTCTTTGTGCATTTGGAGTGGACAAGAGTGGCCAGGATGTACCTGGGAAGGGTCAGCAGTCACAGGCTTTGTCAAGATATAGCCAGATGGAGCTTCTGGGGACAGTAGGCCTCTGTGTGGTAGAGAGCACCGGGTGGAGTTATCTGTAGTTTCAGGCAACAGCAGAGAGAAGCATGGACTATCATGTATGTATGCCTCCATGCTATGGTTAGAATCATAAGGCTCAATCCTCTGATACCCCTCCTCTGTATGAAAACAAGGTACAGTCCAGCAGGAGGATGAACAGTGAGGGGACTGCTGTATGTAGGTTCAGCAAGATTCCATTTTTCTCCAAAAATACAAGTTTAAGATGGCACATCCCTTAAGTTCTGAGTGCCCCACTGACCCATTCCCCACAAGAATTGCTTATCTAGTGTAGGATAAATAATCCAACATATTCAAGTCCAAGATGTATTGCATCTGCATTCTCTGGGAAATGTGGGGAGGCCACCCACAGCCTCATGATTATTGGGCATCATGTTAGTGTGTACACTGAAGACTGAAGGTCTGTTCAACAGATGTGGCATAACTCCCTGAAAAAAGGAAAGCCTTATAAGGTTATAAACTTGTCTCCTGCTTAAGTCTTGAGTCATCCCTGTCAAAATGCCTTTCCAGGGACCCTCCAATCCATCCGGCTTATTTGACAGTTGCCACATTATTTGTGCACAGAGCCAGGGAGGGCACTGTGGATACTGCCAGAAGTCCAACTTTTTCCTGGGCCTTTCCATGCCTCACGGTCCCCACTCCTTACATCTCTTTTTCTGCATGCTTGCTCCCTCTGCCGGTCTTTCTTCTTAGAAGTACCCCTTCCTCAGTGGCCCTCTCCTTCTGGCCCCTCCCATTGAGCATCCTTTGGCCTCTCCCCAGATCCTGCCAACTTTGCCTTTCTGCCCCTTGCTCTGGACCTCTTCTAAGTTTCTTTGCATCTCTCTACTCAATTTATTCTGTCTGTTTTCCTCTAAGTCCCAGGACCTCACTCTCCTCTGTTATCCTTCACCCCCTTCCAGTTGGGTGCCTCCCCCTCTTAGCCACTCCTCCCCTCAAGGAGCCTCTCCACTTCTGGCACCTCCCCACCTCTTCCTAAGCAGTCATCTCCCCTTTTTTCTTCCCCCACAGCCCATGTCTAATTCCTTCTCCCCCTTCCCTAGACCAGACCAGCTAAGTCCTATTCCATTTTTAGATGACTGATTATGACACTAGCTGAACTTTATTCACAGCCTGAATTTACAGCTGTTCCTTCCTTTCATGCCCCATCCACCAAACACACCCAATCTTTTGAACAAGACAAATTCCTTCCTTACACATAGTATGTCATGTTCACATACATTGTATTTTTCAGAAGAAAATAACAGTTATGCTGGCAAAAATGTTTATATGGACCTTTAAGCTTTCAATACACTGAAGAATAACATTTTTTTTCTGTGCTTACAGATCATAATATGCCTCCACAAATGTGGCAAATTTTCACCTAACAGTTAGGACTTTTTCACCAAATCATACACATAGATATGGAAATCATCATCAAACTTGATGAAATATACAGAGGGTTTGGCTTTGACTTGGTGAATGACCTTGCCTGTCCTTTTGGAGCCATCTTCTTTGGTATATTCCACATGTTTACCTATCAGGCCATCTGTAACTCCTTCTGGCTCCCTCTCTGCTGGAAGAGACTCTTTGGACTCTGACATGATACGGAGGTCTCCTTCTTTATAATCATCTAGAAGCTGGTACATGTACAAGACAGGATCTTTCTCATACGTAATATAAAACCAGGCTTTCATGATAGGTGCTTGGGCTAAGACCATTCCCCGCCATTCATCCTTAGAACCATGCTCACCCTCAAACATATGTTCCACAGCTTTACCAATTATGTTATTTGCAAGGCGCACATTTCTAACTCGAGAAAACGGCACCTTATCAGGAAGGATTTTAAGCTTTAAAATCCTTTCATCTCTGTGAAGTTCTAGTCCATAGACACAGTCAATTTCATCATATTTCACCAGATAAAGAGAGGGATTTATAGGCACCTGATCCAGAACGGTTCCTTTCCACTGGGTGATGGGCTCATTGCCTTCCCTCCATCCATGTGAAATTCTGCAGCCCACAATATTCATGCAGGACTGGAATGAAGGTCTTCCTCTTTGCTTCTTTTGACAAGTCTTTTTCTTCCTTATGTTTGCAGATCTGATGTGATGATCTACAGCTTCCCCAGTTTGCTGCCCTGCAGCTGCCTTTTTGTGAGGGGTCTTCATATCTGCAGGGGGAGGAGAAAGGCTAGGGAGTAACATTTAGCATAATACAGTGTGAAATTTTTTTTTCTCTGTATTGCAAAGTCCCTGGGCATGGTACATTGCCACCCAAGTTATTCAGGGTGTCTAGCAGGAATGCTGGATATCAAGACACCATTCAATGATTGCATGCACTGCCTTCCCTCCAGGTTCCTCTGGCTATGCAGGAAGGTTAGAGAGGGTGTAGTTACAGTGATTGAGGCTCTAGCAAGAAGAGGCCTTTCTGCCTCATGCCTGATCCTCTATTGCCGTCCCAGTGTCCCCGCACAAAACACAAATATTCACCATTTCTTAGCCTCCACCTCATCTTGCCATTTCTGTTAATGTAGTGACCTTGTCTCCTGAGGCCCATCGGCACCTGCTCTTTATCCCTCTTGTCTCCCATCTCCATGCCTTCTGACTGGTGTTCACTTCTCCTTTCTGTCTGTTCCTGGCCATCTCCATTTTCCCCTGGGGCGCCCACAATAAACCTACTTTTTTGTCTGGCCACTTTTGTATAGCATCCAGGTACTGTGGATCCTCCCGCCTCACACCCTCGGTCTCCAAATCACCCTTCTCAGTCACCCTCATCGCCAAGATCAGTACCGAACCCAATTTTCCAGCATGGCACCCACCGACCCCCATCCTCCAGTTCTCTAGTCCAGCGCCCACCTCCCCACGACCTGGGATCGCGGGCCTCACGTGCCCAAATCGGACACTTAGCTGCTGCCTCCGCTGTGAGCCTGTAGGGAAGAGGATCAGCAGGCGACGAGCCTGATGATTGGAAGATCTGGGAGGAGAGAATCCTCAGGCGAAGAGCTTGTCTAGCAGGGAGGCAGGCAGGAGAAGAGAATGGCGGCCGTGTCCCCACCTCCACCTCCGTGTTGGCGGCAGCGGCGGTAGCCACTCGGCCACATCGGGCTCCCACCAGCTGCTGCTGCTGCTGCAGTCTCCTCCTTCTTTCCGTAGCGCAGCTTCCTGCCTAGAGAAAGGCCTCCCCTTCCTGCCGCCCCTCAGCGCCCCCCGCCGCGTTTCTCGCCAATGTTCACAAGCTGGGCCCACAACCCCACTCCCCAAAAGCCTATAGCCCCTTCGTCAGTTCAGGGCATCCAGGTTCCCCAACCCCATTCTCACCTCCCCCCGCGCCCCCTCACCCTCGACACACACACACACCACCTACTTTCCATGTTTCAGGGTTTTGCCCTTTTTACCGTGCCCTTCTGGAGTTATTCTTTACTGCAGAAACCTGCCTTTGCTGTCATTTAAGGGAATTTGAAGGAGGAAAGAAACGCGCTAGTGCTCAGTCTTCCATCTTGACGCAAGCTCTAGGTTATATTTACTGCCTGGTCATTCCCAGGTTTTACTTATTGAGAATAATTTTTTTTTTCACCTATTGCAAAAGAATTGCATGCACAATGTGGACACTGTGTAAAATTCAGAAAATTTACTTGAAGAAAATAATCCACCCTAAATCCACTTTGCATTCTACAGGGCACGCAGCAATAATATTAATACACATTATTTCCTTTGCTTTTTTTCTAATCGCCTAGAAATCTGAGATTATTTTGCAAATTCCGTTTTTAAAATTCTTTGTAAAATCATTTTATGATACTTCGAAAAGAGTCTACTATTAGAAGTAGTAAGTTCTCTCTATTCAACGTTAATTTCTTATTTTTATTGAAGCTATTGAAAGTAGAAATAAAATATTCCCAATGAAATGGAATTCTCCTTTATTCTCTAGCCCTGATCCTATTCCTGTCCCCACTCTAATGCTAACAATCATCATTCAATTTTTGTGTATCCTAACAATCTTTATGTATATATATTTATATTATATATTAACATTTTTTATTTGCACATGAAATATTAGCATCCGTTCCTCTTTCAAATTATCATATTATTGCAAATAAAATTTCACAAGCATTCACAATTGCTGTTGTTCTACTTCCCTGATTGTTATCCTTGTTATGAATTTGCTGTTTTGCCTTCTCTACTTATGTGCCTATAGGAAATATATTTGCATATCAAGTACAATATACTAATTTTAAGACACAAGTTTGTACTGTATACAAATAAAAATGAAAATGAACACTAATTAAACTATGATAAGACATGAATTGTATGACATATACAGTGTTTAAATATGTTAGCATATGAAAAACTAAAAAAAGGAAAAAAGTGAAAAAATAAGGGAAGCAAATGGAAATTGTAGGATGCTATTGAATAATATGTGAAAACCCTTGTCTTACATTAGATGAACTATGGAATTATTGACGCTTTTTTTATGCCTGTGTTGTGCCATGTTGTTTCTACTTTCTACAACTCAGTTTTGCATCAAGCAGTATTTTGGGGGGTTATAACAGCATAAGAACATGTTCTTAGTTTTTCCATCTCAAAATACCCTTTCCTGATTGCACTTACTCTTCTACTACCACCTCATTTTTCTGTTTTACTCTTTTCAAAAAAACTCCTTGGAAGAGTTACCTATCAATTAATTGTTTTCAATTTTTTTACTCTCATGTTCTCTTAAACCTACTCCCACTCCAGTCTGGTTACTTGCCTGCTCCTCCACTCCATGAAAAGTGCTCTTCTTCAGGTCATCAATAACCTTCAATTTTCATTTATTAATCTCCATCCTACTTCATCTATCAATAGCCTTTGATCATCCTGTCTTCCTTGAAACTCTTCTCTACTTGATACTTAGGATCCCACAGTCTCAAGTTTTTTCTGGTAACTTGCTGGCTACTTTTTAGTCTTTCAAAATTTGTTCCTTTTCACTCTTACCTCATAATTTTGTGTCCCAGTGCTCAGTCTGTGCACATCTTTATCCATACTTTCTCCCTTGGTGATCTCATCCAGGCTCATGGCTTTAAATGTCATTGATAGGTTGAAAAGTATCAAATTTCTATCTCTCATCTGACCTCTGTACTCCAGACTTACAGATTCAGTGACATACTTGATATCTCCATGGGGATGTCTAATGAAGTCAACATATTCAAACTGAGATTCATGTATTTCCCCTATGACATACTTCATCTACAGACCTAACTCCCAGTTGCATTAAATGGCAAATCCATCTTTCCTTTTCTTCTGGCTATAAACTTAATGTCATTCTTTCTCACAGCTCTTATCTAATTTGTCATGATTTTATTGGATTTATTTAAAAATTTTCATCACTTCCACTACTACCACTCTAATTTAGCTATCTTCATCCCATAGTTCATTGGAAAGTCTTCTTTACTAGGCAGATTGCTTATACTTTTCTTCCTTTATAGCCTGATATACATCAGTTAAAACTTCCAGTGGCTCCTCATTTCATTCAGAGGAAAAGCCAAAGTATTTAGAGTTTCTTATAAGACTGGGCATGGTTCAGCCCTTCAGCCCCTACTGTTATTTTTGTGATATTATTTTCTACTACTCTCAATCATAACATTGATATATGTAAAATTTCAATGTTCACAATTCAGAATAGGTCAAATATCAACAATTCCAAACCGTTCAAATTATCATCTGTGTTCCTTACACCTTGGATTCATTGATTGTTCTTGAACAAGCAAATCGTTCTCCTTACAAGCTTTTTTGCATTTGCATTCTTTCTTACTGAGTGTTCTCTTTCACTATCTTCAGTTTTTTGTGCCTCATGTTCATTATTAGGTTTACTTTAAGAATATCATTTAAAATCTCTATGTCAGTGCTTCTGATCTGCTTTATATTGTTCAACTATTTCCTATGCTTCTTGTAGTAATCAGTGTATACTCACTTGTTTTATAAATACCGTCCAAATAGCAGTGTAATATAAAAAAATATTTTTCATACATTAAATAGTTCAATGCAGGTGTTTCTGGTTAGTGGACAGCTTTCTTAGTAGATGATTTAGGGAATAAGATACCTCTTGCTCATCAAGCTTCAGCCATATTGTATGATTTTATGGTCCTTTGACAAATTGTCTCCATCCAACTGGCTAACAGTTAAAAAAAGAGACAGATATGACTTTTCTAGAGTAGTACTAATAGAAATATTAAGATGAGTCACATGTGCAAGGGAGCCAGGAATACCCAATGAAAAAATGATTGTCTCTTCCATAAATGGTGCTGGGAAAACTGAATATTCATATCCAAACTGAGGAGACTGGAACCCTGTCTTCCACTATTCATAAAAATTAATTCAAAATTGATTAAGGACTTAAACATGAAATGTGAAGCCTTAAAATCGCTAGAGGAAAACACAGGAAAAGTCTCTACATTGGTCTTATCAGTCATTTTATGGCTATAGCAACTGAAAGCACAAGCATCAAAAGCAAAAATCAACAAGAGGGACTACAACAAACTAAAAAGCTTCCAAACAGCAAAATTAACAATCAACAAAATGAAAAGGCAACCTACAGAATGGAGGGACATATTTGCAAATCACATATCTGGTAAGGAGTTAATGTCCAAAATTTACAAGGAAGTCATCAACTCAACAGCAATAAACCCAAACAATCCCATTGAAAAGGGCAAAGAAACTGAACAGACATTTTTATAAGGAAGACATTCAAATGGCCAAAAGGTATATGAAAGGCTGTTCAACCTAATTAAAAATCAGAGAAACGAGGCAGAGCCAGGATGGCGGCATGAGTAGAGCAGTGGAAATCTCCTCCCAAAAACACATAGAGCTATGAAAATATAACAAAGAAAACTCTTCCTAAAATAGAGACCAGAGGACACAGGAAAACATCCAGACCACATCCACACCTGCAAGAACCCAGTGCCTTGAGAAGGGGGTAAGATACAAGCCCCGACCCGGCGGGACCCGAACGCCCCTCCCCCTGGCTCCCAGCAGGTGGAAAGAAACCGGAGCGGTTTTTTTTTTTTGGCGAGTGCTTTTTGGAAGCCTTAAAGGGAAAGGGACCCTGTTGCTAGGGAGGCAGGGTGGCAGGACCGGTGAGCGGGTGCCTGGGACCGGCGCCTGAGGACAAAGATTATTGTGCATTTTTCCCTACGGGACCGGTGGGCAGGTGCCTGAGACCAGCGCCTCAAGATGGAGGAAATCGCGCATTTTTCCCCTTTTTTTTTCTCTTTCTGGCGAGTGCTTTTTGGAAGCCTTAAAGGGACAGCAACCCCATTGCTAGGGAGGCAGGGCGGCGGGACCAGTGAGCGGGGGCCTGGGATCAGCGCCTGAGGACAAAGATTATCGCGCATTTTTCCTTATGGGACTGGTGGGCGGGTGCCTGAGACCGGCGCCTGAGGACGGAGGAAATTGCACGTTTTTCCCCTTTTTTTTTTCTCCTTTTGGCGAGTGCTTTTTGGAAGCCTTAAAGGGACAGGGACCCCGGTGCTAGGGAGGCAGAGCAGCAGGACCAGTGAGCGGGTGACTGGGAACGGCGCCTGAAGACAAAGAATATCGCGCGTTGTTCCCTGCGGGACCGGTGGGCGGGTGTGCCTGAGACCGGCGCCTGAGGACGGAGGAAATCGCGCGTTTTTCACCTTTTTTTTTTTCTCTTTTTGGTGAGTGCTTTTTGGAAGCCTTAAAGGGACAGGGACCCCGGTGCTAGGGAGGCAGAGCAGCAGGACTGGTGAGCGGGTGCCTGGGACCGGCGCCTGAGGACAAAGAATATCCCGCGTTTTTCCCTGCGGGACCGGTGGGCGGGTGCCTGAGACCGGCACCTGAGGACAGAGGAAATCGCGCGTTTTTCCCCTTTTTTTTTCTCTTTTTGGTGAGTGCTTTTTGGAAGCCTTAAAGGGACAGGGACCCCGGTGCTAGGGAGGCAGGGCGGCGGGACTGGTGAGCGGGTGCCTGGGACCGGCACCTGAGGACAAAGAATATCCCGCATTTTTCCCTGTGGGACCGGTGGGTGGGTGCCTGAGACCAGCACCTGAGGACGGAAGAAATCGCGCGTTTTTCCCCTTTTTTTTCTCTCTTTTTGCCGAGTGCTTTTTGGAAGCCTTGAAGGGACAGGGACCCCGGTGCTAGGGAGGCAGGGCGGCAGGACTGGTGAGCGGGTGCGTGGGACCAGTGCCTGAGGACAAAGAATATTGAGCGTTCCTT